GTCGTTTCAAAGAGTCGGTGGAAATACAGACAATTGAATTGATGAACAAATCACTGAATTCAGCGTCGATTGAATCGAGTCTCAAAAAATACAAAACAACCAAATATTGTGTTAAAATTTCTGACAAGTGTTTGGAAATTATCAAAAAGCATTTAAAAGTAAGAATTGCTTCTCTTATTGTATATTAAGAATTAATATTAATATAAATGTCAATGATTTACAGGAAAAGAATGATCTCATAATCATTGATATCATTAACAAATCTATTGACTGTAATATATATTCAACTCATAATCAAAATCAACCGGAATTGACTGAAAAACGTATTGAAAAGTGTCCACAATTTATGGACACAGAATCGCTGTCCGTAACAGACGTCCAATTGAGTCAAACACAGAGCCAAGACTTGCAAGACTTTATGCAATGTGTAGATAGGCTTCGAAACAGTCCTCCCTCTCGGTTCCCGATCCGCACGTTTACCGTCAATAGTGAGGACTTGTGCTGTGCGGCCGTCACCGACGATATGAGCGCTTTGGCGCTGGGCTTCACTGACTCGACCATTAGTTTGAAAAAATTTGGGCAAAACTTTAACCGCGAATCGCGTTTTGAACTCAAGAGGAATGTCTGCGATATACGACTTAATCTCATCGAACACGACATCGAAGACGTGAACAATGATCGTGAAGATGACGATAATGACGACTACTGCCATACTTCTGGTGCCATAAACGGCGTCAATACTTGTGATACAAATGAGTCGCCGACGGGTGACGTTCGTGAAGATGCTTACCGTACACTCCGCGGTCACAGCGGACCCGTCTTAGGACTTAAATTTTGCCCCCAAACGGACATATTGTTGTCGTGCTCTACGGACACAACTGTGCGCGCATGGGATGCCACGTCCGGCCATAACGTGTCGCTATATAACCATCACAGGTCTTCTGTGTGGGCATTGGATGCGAGTCTCGTGGGAAATATGTTCTGTTCCGCCGGTGATGAATGTGTGGCATATCTCTGGTCTCTGGAGCACT